ACATGTGCTTCTACATCTGACTTCAAAAATAGCCCGGGAAAAAAGGAACTAACTGTTTGTGTCATTATTTGTGTCAGTCATACAAACCAGTTTGCAAACCATAACAAATGCATGAAAACGAACCATATTTGACGTTGTTCCATGCGGACATGAACTTGGCTTTCAGGCGATCCACTTCATCGGGCTCTCCAGAGCCTTCTCGGAGCCCATCAGGCGCTGAGCCGTGGCCGTTGTGGCGTCTGGACTGCGCTGAGGGCCTGTCCTCATGAGCACCGCCGCCCACTATGTACTGAACGGCACTGGGAGACACCGAGTTCATGGTTCAGGCTGAATACCGCAGCATTACAGAAGAACTTCAGCCTGAAACAGAGAGACAGAAAGAGAGCTTCCTTCATTTCTTGGTAAAACAGCTGTGCTATGACAACACGCTGTGATTCTCAGAACTCAAACCCTTCCTCAGTCCAAAAAAAGCACACGAAGCTGCAAAAATGTCTCATTCTGAATATGAAATCAGATTTCTGATATCAGGAAGACTGAAGCGTTAACATGTGAAGTTATATTGAGAAAACAGGTTAGATACTAGAGATGCTTAAAATTCTGCTACCATATTAGTTATTATTGGAGGTTTTTAAATTTATTGATATCAGTCGACAATGGATATTTATTTGTGCATGCTCATTTCTTCATTTAGATGACCTTTGTCATCATCTAACACTCACTTAAAGGTAATATTTAAAAACATTAATTTAATAACACAACAACAACAATAAAAATTGAATTAATATACATTTTATTTATTTGGACATTTTAAAGTATTGAAGCCTAAATTAACTTGTAGCTTAATTTTTAAAAAAAATTTTTTATTGTATCATGGCAATACAATGGTATTCTCTGATGTATAATTGAGTGCAATGTACAGGATCCCCACACCTTTTGATCAACAATTTTTCTAGGACTAGTAATTTCCAGTCATTCAAATTACTGGATAAGGATTTTTATGATCATTGTAGAGACTGATTCAAACAAAGCAATTTATAAATTATTTAAGAGCTTATCACAATCGAATAGATAAAGGTTTGGGGTGGGTTGTGGTTTTTGCTCACAAAAATACTGTAAAAACAGTGATATTGTAAAGTATTATCACAATTTCAAACGACTCTTGTCTATTTGAATATTTTTTTAAATGTAATTTATTTCTGTAATGGCAAAGCTGAATTTGGTGCTCAAGAAACATTTCTAAATGTCATCAATTTGATATTTTGTCGAAACAGAATTTTTTTTTCAGGATTCTTTGATGAAGAGAAGATTCAAAAGAACAGCGTTTATATGAAATTGAAATATTTTGTAACATTGTAAATGTCTTTACAGTCACTTTAGATCAATTTAATTTGTTCTTGCTGAATAAAAGTATCAATTTCTTAAAGGGGTCATATGATGCTGCTAAAAAGAACATTATTTTGTGTATTTGGTGTAATGAAATGTGTTTATGCAGTTTAAGGTTCAAAAAACATTATTTTCCACATACTGTACATTATTGTTTCTCCTCTATGCCCCGCCTTTCTGAAACGCGTCGATTTTTACAAAGCTCATCGGTCTGAAAAGCGAGGTGTGCTGTGATTGGCCAGCTATCCAGTGCGTTGTGATTGGCCGAATACCTCAAGCGTGTGATGGAAATGTTACGCCCCTCACATACTGTTGAATTGAAATTGCATCATATGACCCCTTTAAAAAAAAAAAAAATAAAATAAATAAATAAATAAAAATATATATATATTAATTTACACGAACAAACATTACCAACATGAATATTCAAATCAATACCATAACAGAGTTACGGTACTTTCTGTAGAAACATCACAGAAGTCACACAACTTTAATTACTCACTGTAATGTGACTTTATAATACACACCTTTCAATCTCGAAAACATTCCACCTGTGTGTTACGCGAACAAACAAGCTGTGTGTGAGAAACCAGCCTGTCACATGAGCCCTGACTGAGGGGACAGGTGTGGCGGCTGAGGGCCACAAGAGTTCAAGCACACATTACAGTGGAAATATTCAGACTTCCCATTTCCTTATTCTCTCAAGGAAGTTTGAGCTTACAGTCTAACGAAGGGAAATGAGACCAGTTTACGATGAGGCGACATCATTTCCCAATAATGCAAAAGCTGAAAAATGTTCACTTCATTCTTGCACACCAGACTGCTCGGGGACAGTGGACACAAGTTAATTTTAGACCATGTGACCACTGAGAGCTCAGCAGAACACCCAGGTCATCACAATGGCTTCATTCAGAATAGCGTACTACAATACTACATTTATACCAGATTAATGGCATGATAATGGCATGAATTTTCTGTTTGCACAAAATACTCATTTCATGTGTCAAAATGTGTTTCCCACAATGCAGTGCGTTCCTGTCACGTCCTACTATGAACAACAATCGACTTTGACTGCCAAAATGTAAGAAATTTTACACAAAATCGGAGGGGGAAAACAGTACTTTAGCACCTTTTATTTACAAAATAATAACTAGACTGCACTCACTCAATTCAACATGCCATTGTAGAAGAGACTATTAAGTAGGCTATATACTGTACATATTGCCAATAATGCAATACGAAGTACACTAGTATGTCATTTTGAACACAGCCTAGGAGGAAACCCCGTTTTTGTGGTTAAATGTGAAATAATGTCATTGTAAATAAGTCATTCATGTCTGAACGGAGCAATCGCCTACTTTTAGTCATGATACAGCTTTTAATGCCCTAAAAAAATACACAATTCCCTGCGAATCGTTATAAGGCAGCCTGATTCTGTGGGTTGTGTGAAATATTTTAGTATGTAGTGTGAAGACAGATATCATGTTTCCAGACACTGACTCTAGTGCACTTCAAAAGTCATTTTAACCAGCTAGAGGCGTTACCTTCATGTTAGACCCGGCATGTTTAATGTTCCGGATATTTTCCTACTTCTCCTATAAATAGCGATGTCCAGTGTCGAGCTGCTCTGGATGTCTGGCAAGGACGACCGCTGTGTGAAACCGAGCTCAGGCCTCTTCAGGCGCCGTTATCGTGGCGAGGATCGATTACAAATGTAGTCATGAGTTTCTGCGTCTTTACAATCTTGCGCGGCTCTCAAACTGTCCGCTGAGACGAATAGTGTATAAAACAGCGAAAGATTAAACCGTATGCAACCACTTCCTGTTGTCATTGCGGATACACACCCTCGACCCGCCCACCGAGCGACGTGATTGGTCAGGTTTGACCGTTGCCGTTTGATGATTGGACGATCTACACGCACGAGAAACTGTAGTCAATTAATTATTACTTATTTTATTTATTTATTTAATTTGTCAAATATGTACATACAAGACGAATATAAATTAAAACAATAGTCTGGGGCATCAAAAGGAAAGAAAATATTTTGGTATTTATTTGGTTAGTCAGATTTTACATTGATGAGGGGGGAAAAAAATGTCCACACGTTGCAGTTTTTAAAGGAACACTCCACTATTTTTGAAAATAGGCTCATTTTCCAACTCCCCTAGAGTTAAACAGTTGAGTTTTACCGTTTTCGAATCCATTCAGCCGATCTCCGGGTCTGGCGGTAGCACTTTTAGCTGTAGCTTAGCATAGATCATTGAATCTGATTAGACCGTTAGCATCTCGCTCAAAAATGACCACAAAGAGTTTCTATATTTTTCCTATTTAAAACGTGACTCTTCTGTAGTTACATTGTGTACTAAGACCGACGGAAAATGAAAAGTTGCGATTTTGTAGGCCGATATGGCTAGGAACTATACTCTCATTCCGGCGTAATAATCAAGGAACTTTGCTGCCGTACCATGGGTGCAGCAGGCGCAATAATATTATGCAGCGCCTGAAAATAGGCTTATTGGAAGTTACCTAGCTGGGGACTATTTACAGGCGCTGCGTGATATCATTGAATCAGAAAATCGCAACTTTTCATTTTCCGTCGGTCTTAGTACACGATGTAACTACAGAAGAGGCAAGTTTTAAATAGGAAAAATATCGAAACTCTTTGGTCATTTTTGAGCGAGATGCTAACGGTCTAATCAGATTCAATGATCTATGCTAAGCTACAGCTAAAAGTGCTACCGCCAGACCCGGAGATCGGCTGAATGGATTCGAAAACGGTAAAACTCAACTGTTTTAACTCTAGGGGATTGGAAAATTAGCCTATTTTCAAAAATAGTGGAGTGTTTCTTTTTAAGTTGGTAGAAAAAGTTGTGTCAGACATTCACAATTACTTGTAGAAACCAGTAAAAAGTCATGGTAGTGTTATGCTTTGTTTGCAATTGAGTAAATTCTGCTTGCAGAGCACTAAAAGCATCATTATTGTGATCATGATTACAGTATTCAGCTAGTTTTTGTATTTACAAAAGGTAAGTTTGAGTACTGTTAACTAATAATCCATAAATGTGATAAGAGAGGTCAAAAGCTGTGACCAAAAGTCTATAACAATGCTGACTTGACCAAGAATCTAGCAATACTTTAGCAAACAGACGAAAAATAAAAACCCTAGCAACTCAAACGGACGAAGTTCAACATTCACAGTTTGTCTTGATAGACTTTCCAGTTCGAGTTATTAAGCAAATAAAAGCAGCATGTAATTTTAAACAATATCTCTTTATTAATTGACTACACACACTGCACCTCAGTTAATGGATCGATTGACATTTGCTGTAAATAAAAGTGATGTACAGAGCCAAATAAATAGAATAAATGAACAAATTCATGTCCAAACTGCCACATAACAGGTGATACAAGACTGAGATACTCTTCATTTCTCCTATATGTAGGATGTTCACATTAGAACAGAATATCTTTATGTCTTTATTTACCTCTATGCACAGTATTGTACAGAATTTTGGACAGTTTGATAAAACAACAAAGAACGTATAAAAAAATTACATGAAATAAAGTGCATTCTCAAAAAATCACATTTTATAGGAAATTACATTAAAAAACAGAAATATTCGCAAATATGGCCACATAAACACAAACACATAAGAATATATTCGGATACATACGAGTGGACAGCATATTTTTAATATGTGTGGATTCTTGTTTTTCAGTTCACACTGCAGTGTAAATCAAACCATTCAGAATCGAATAAGACAAAGGGCTTTACAGTACAGATTAAGTGAACATTATAAAACATTAGTCTCGTATTCGATCAGCTATAACAGTCACATGATATAAAGTGGAAACATTCAGGCCAGTGAAGTGTTAGTTGCCTTTAACCACAACTGAGAGTTCATGCACGGGAAAGGGCCGAATATGACGAGAATGGTGTGTTACAAACATAGCATCAGATACATTAACACATTCACCCAAAATCTTTACATTATTTTGTGCATATGTTGTCGTCACTTCTCCATTTCACTGATACATCCAAATAACTCTCTGATATATTGGTTCTGTATACTACAATAAATAAATGTTTTTAATAGATATAAAAAAATCTCACTAACACTGGAGCCAGATATGAAACAGCAAAAGATATTTCAGATGACAGAGCTGCTTGAGAGATAAACAGCGTCAGAATACATTTACGGAAGGAATAATAGATATCTAAATGACTATCCAAAGGCATCATCATGCTACAGTAAATCAATACCTCTGTACGGTACTATGAAATACAAATAAATAAAGCACTCTTGGTCTTGTCACTGATTGCAATATAGGGTGTAAAATAGTGACAGTGTTCCTGTTAGCCATCAGACGGCAGCATAACTCCATCTATTCCTGCCACGCTTCAAATCAGTCATCATGATGTATATTTGTATTATATTTAGCGATATGCTCATATGCATATTTATGCAATATGCTTATACACAGAATTAATAAATAAATAAATTTAAATGAAACAAAAAATGTTCACAAAATAATGTGTCAAAATCTGACAAATGACTGAAAATGTCTAAGATGTGCAGTTTTGTGAGTCTTTTGAAAGCACAAACCTTTGCAGTCCGTTTTTTTAATTTGCTTACATAATTATGAAATTGATAATACTGAGACAAATACAATTTATACTACTTAGTTTATTACTGTTTTATACCATTTCTTTACTATGTTTTACTACTAATACCATAGATAAACTATGGTTACTGTAGTAAACCACTGTTCATCTTCACAACCGTTTCCTAGTGATGTTTCACTGGAAATGGCAAAAGAACAAACGCTGCAAAAAAGCATCAGTCGCATCCCTACAAACATTTGTTTTGCATATGCTTAAGTGAAAACAGAGTTACTTTAGAACAAATGTTAGTGACATTTTCATTGCATGTTAGTGAACAACATTCAGATCACACAGAGAAACGCCAACAGACGGCAGGCTACACCAGCTCCAAGTTGCCATGACAACAGTGACATTAACTGATGCTTGAGTAACTATAGTATATATTTACCATACAATCCTCCTTCACTTTCCAACAATCATCTTAAATGTGCTGATCCAACAATCTCTGTAATCAAGACCTGTGTTACGACGATGCTCATGAAGGATGCCATCTAAAATTGTTGATATGCATTTAGCACTTAAATCCATAAGGTTTTTAGTTTATGATCTCACATTTTAATAGTCACTTCTCCACTGCAAAGATGCAAAGATGTTCAAAACCTTAACCACTTCTCTCATATTACTGATTTTCAAAATGCATTAGCATTCATTTCAATACACGGATACTTTTAAATAGCTGTCAATGCTCGCTTTGCAGCCAGATGGTGTAGTTATGACATCTACCAGCAGGGGATAACCGGGGCATGCTAACCAGTCAAACCTTGACCCCTTACTATTGCAAACCCCCATGGTTGAAGAACTATTATTCAGGTAGCGAACATGAGACTTGAGCGCTAGAGTCACAGTGAGGTCAACGATCACTTTTAAAGAGAATTCAGTAGCACAGAAGAGAGTAAAGATGCACCAGCCCGTGTCAAGAGCTGTGGATAGCACTGACCTACTTGTGAGTATGATTCAAATTTGCCTGTAAACTTATTTACAGAGACACTGTAAGGCTAGAAACATACTCTTGGCAATTATGCAAACATAGAGGCGCCTGCTTGCCAATGCATACTAAGGAACTGTCTTCTTCTATGGTAAGACCAACGGTTGTCTTGGAGGAACAACATTGTCTTTTTAGTTTAGTTAGTTTGATTTGAGAATTAATAGCAAAGTTGATTGTATTGATTTAACAAGTTTTAGACTTTCCCCATTCAAAAGTGGATACCGAATGCACCAGTTTGCCATAAAGGGCCTAAGATATTTACCCCAGAAGGCAGCGATCAACAAAATCGACAAAATGTCAACAGTTTCGACAGTCTTAATTCAGTATGATGAGAGATTTGGTTAAGAGGGAATTTGAATGAATCTATGGTTTAGCCAGCATCCTCCTCATGGCTTTATTTTTGGCATTTTTATGCCTTTTATTTCGATAGGACAGGAAGTGGGAGAGAGAGGGGGGGGGGGTTGGGAAAGGTCCGCGAGCTGGGATTCAAACGCAGGACCCCCGAAGCGCAATGGCTATACATGTCAGCGTGCTGCCCACAAGGCTATTTGTGCCGACATTCTCCTTATGGCTAAGGCAGTATGTACTATCTATTAATGGATATGCTAAACCTGATTAGAAACTCCTGAATCATGTAATAAGCCAAAACAAATACAGCAATTGAAGCAATGTGTCCTTGATTACATTCTGTCTCTGCCAAAAACTTGATAAGCTGTTACCTTGAGCAAATTCTTTTCAGGTTTTGTGTTTAAGGAAATTATGTGGTTGGTCACCTTAGAAAATGTAGGAACATTGTTTTGGTGTTCACAGTATTCAGCATTGTTTGATCTGTTAAAGCACTTTGCACTTGTCGATTTTTCACCTTGTTGAACAAGCACCACGAAACATGCACCCATTCACCTCCTCGCACACACAAACACCCAACACGCATTCTAATATAATACATCTATACTCTTTTTCTGATGCAGCTCTGCGTGTACAATAGATAACAGCCTGTAAAATAACCTTGGAGTTGTTGTCCTTTGTTCAGTGTAATATGATTTAGTCTTTTTTTTTTCACTGGCTGGAATGTCCCTAAATTTCTAAGTGCTCAAAAACATTGAATTCCGCTAAACCCTCAATAAAGGCAATTATTTTTTCAACTAGCACACGATCAAGAGCCATTCTTAGGAGTAATGACAGTCTTCACCTGCGGGGAGGTGCTAGTAGGACTCTGACCATCTGCTTTGGAAATTGGTCTACTCTCAGAAGCAGGATCAGGTCTTCCTTGAGCACATGCCTGGGTGACCTCTAACGATTTGGTGATATCTTTGGCCTTGGGCCCCTCCTGAGTTCCACCTTTAACAGGCCCTATAGATTTCCCTGTGCTTGTCAACTGTGCAGCCGAACCAGATTTCTCACCAGGAGATTGAAGTTGAGTTTTGGGCAGATCAGGAGGCACTCCAGTTGGAGAAGGAGTGGAGGATGGAGAGTGTTCCTCAACAACCTCCAAGAGACATTTGTCCTCCCAACCCAATGTTCCCCGGTAGCAGCTGACCGGAGCTAAGCCCTTATCCTGCCTAAGTTTTCCCAAAGCAGAGCACTGCGCCTGGGGTGGGTGAGATGGGACAATCCCTTTGGATGGAGCAGTCCTCGCCCTGACATCTAAAGTTCTGGTATGGGAATCTAAGACGCTCTTTTTGAGACCCTCTCCGTCACCTGGTCCCTTACTTGCTTTGGTTACCTCTGTGCTTGTTGTCTTCCCAGGAGCACTGCATGGCATACTTGGCATGACTGAAGCTGAAGTCTTCCCAAAATCTAGTTTTACCTCTTTCTTCCCAGTATCCTTTCCCCTTTCCTTCTCCGACAAGTCTTTGCTGATAACACCTGATACACTTGCAGAGCATGAAGGTTTACTGGTTCCTATTGCCTGGCTTTGGGCAACTTTTGTAAGACTTCCTTGGTCATCCTTTCCCGCTTCCTTGACGAAACTTGGATCTGTTGTTTTGGCAGATGGGGAAGATGCTGTAGTCAGGGGTGATGGAATGGAGGTGCCTACACAAGGCGTGGACTCTGATGCTACCGGAGAAGACTTGGTCAATGGAGGCTGCCAAGTCTGAGGCTTGGCTAGGCAACTTTCCTGTAGAGTGGAAGGAGGCCGCTGAGATGCTTCAACACTTGGAGATTTCTTACTTCCAGGTGGAATAATGCCACCAGGAGGGAGTGTTTCTTTGACCACCCCTGGTTTAGGCTCACTAGGATGACTTGGTTCACCAATCCTCTCCTTGTCTCGATCCCTTTCTCTTCCAGCAAGCAAAGCATCTCTACTCAAAGGTGACTCCTGCCTGCCTAGCTTCCTTACTGGCTTCAGAACAGGCAGTGATGGGGTCGGTTGAGTGGGTGAAGGAGAAGTTGTTGGGGCAGATGCCAGATTCTCACCCTCAATTTCCACCAAGCTCTGGAGGCCAAGCTCACAGTGGAAACCATCCTTACGATAATCCGAATGTATGACCTCCAAACTGTGTTTCCTCATCACCCCGATCCCACCTTTCTTCTCGGATGAAGATGAAAGCGGTGACCCGAGTTTCTCTGCTGACTGCACTCTTTTGAGTAGTGGTGATCTGGGTGGCTCGGCACTCTTGGGTCTAGGCCTTATGATTGGTGGAGATGAATGTAGTTTGGCAGGAAAGGTTTGGGTGGTGTTGGAGCTTCCGACTGTGTGCCCAGGCAAAGGAGGTGGCGAGGACTGAGTTGGGGATGGTGTATGAGCCAATGGAGACAAAGGAATGTTGCCCGCTGACTTGCAGCGGGCTGAACGGTATTGGCGGTGTAGTTTGGGGGAAAGTCCGTGCAGGGAGCTGGGTCTCATATGCTGGGTTGTTGCGGGGGAATTTGGGGTACTGGAGGCAGGAGAACTGCTCTGGGAGGAGGCACCTGGGTCAAGAATATCAATAAATGTGTCCATTAAACTTTTTAATTGTTGGTTTTACCTTTTATATCACAAAATATGCTTTGATCTACTCACCAAGGTAGGATGACTCAGGGGTTGAGCGGTAGCTCTGGGTAGGGGAGTGACCGGACAGGCTGTGTGTCGGAGAGCCAGGAAGACTATCGCTGGATGACAGGGATCGGTTCAGAGATGACAGCAGGTTGGATTGCTTAGTTATTTTGCTTAGTTATTTTGCGGAACAAAGACCCACGCCTCTTACTGTGAATGATCATGGAAGAAAAAGAGAGAAACAGATGGGGTAAGAAAAAATATATTCTTTATAAGAACAGTCTTCACAACTGGAGGCACATTGTACCTTTCCTGTCCCTCTTTGACCGTCCTCTTACTGCGTCTAGCCATCTTGGCCTTGTAACTGGACTTGCGTGCTGGTCCCACTTTTATGGACGTGTTCTCAAAAGGTGTTGTGGTCACAGTCACCTTGTTTCCACTCTGAACAAAGAAAAAGCAAAGAAACACATAGGACTGTTTGAAGATTTATCATCTCAGATCATGTGGATTCCTGAGGAGAGGTGTGTTATTTCTTCTCTATGCGGTAAATCTTACAGTACAATTTTTGCCTTGCTGAATAGAACATCTTACGTCTCACCTTAAGTATAAGCTCTACCACCTCGGTATGGACCAATCCATGCACAGATTCACCATTGACGTGAGTGATGAGGTCACCAGCACATAGTCCCGCCTCCTGAGCAGGGCCTCCATCCTCCACATGCTGTGATTGGTTAAGGACAGAAATACTAATTAATCCAACAAAGTTTCAATAAAACTATTGCTGCATATCTGTTCCATACTCAATCAACTTTTTCTCATGCTGTGTTGCTGTCTCACCCAGACTATGTGGTGCACACTGAAGACGTCAGTGTCTCCCATGTAGACCCGAATGGCACGGAGAGTGAACCCATATTTTTTGCCAGAGCGATGGATGGTAATTGGTGAACGAAGAACTGTTACTGCAGGGCAGTAATCACGGCTGGGAGACGAGTCTCGCGATGAGGGGTTGGACGAGAGAGAGCGTGGGGACATTGGACTGGCCAGTGGAGAGCTACCGTGCTGCTCAACTAGATATTGATAAGTCAATAATCAATATATTTTCTTTTTTTCTGCAATTGGCATTATTTGTATAACAATTAAGCAAATTAAAAGATTAGTTCACTTCCAGAATATATTTTTTAATCATTTACTCACCCCCATTTCATCCAAGATGTTAATGTCTTTCTTTCTTCAGTAGAAAAGAAATTAAGGTTTTAAGGAAAACATTCCAGGATTGTTCTCCATATAGTGGACAGGGAATTTTGGTTGAAAATTATGTAATTTTTTTTTTTTGGTAGAAAATAAACGATCGATTTGGCTAGATAAGATATACCTCGGCTGGGATCGTGTGTAGAGCCCTTTGAAGCTGCATTGAAACTGCAATTTGGACCTTCAACCCATTGGCCACAATTGAAGTCCAACTATATGAAGAAAAATCCTGGAATGTTTTCCTCAAAAACCTTAATTACTTTTCGACTGAAGAAAGAAGACATCCATGATCTTGGATGAAATGGGGGTGAGTAACTTATCAGGAAATTTTTATTCTAGAAGTGAACTAATCCTTTAATGAGGTTTTTTTTGCATTTCAGTAATGAGAATTGGAGGGAAAATGTTCCTTTTCATGAAGGCTGAACTGTACCTCCAGGTATGATGACAGACAATGCGGTGGCAGATGCAGATTTGATGACCTTGTTGCCGGGACGTGAGCTGCGTTTCTCCCCATCGCTTGACAGCTGCTGATGACGTGCTTGCCGAAGCACCAGATCCTTGGTCGCTCGCTGTCCGACAGTGTCACCCATGACCACGTCCCTACCGATCACTGCTATGGCTCCTGTAGATGGTATGGCCTGTGGTGCTGATATCTCACCTGGTCTCAATGGCTTGTCTGCCATATTTACATACACAGAAAAAAATCTCTAATTAGAAACTCAGTCTAATTAGTCTATACAAATACAGTCTATACATTTTTTTCAATTTTTGTTTTCAACACACCTGGGGCTTTACTAGCTGACATCACTTCCTTTGCACCGTTCCTCTGTTCATTAGCACTGGGCAATGGTGGAGCAATGGCTCCCTCTAATGATGATCCCGGGGCTTTAACGGCACCCTGTTTTTCGGAGAGCTCTCCATCGCCCTCTTGAGGAGCGGCAAACCGGTGCGTGTCCATCAGGGCTGAAAAACGGCGCCGGGCGCCCATCGGAGGACTGCAGTCTCCCTCCATATACAGAGACTCAGAGCATGATAGACGCTTCCTGTGTAAATAAAAAACAAAATGAGAGGGAATGTTTAAATATGATAATTTTGAGAAAGTACCTTCATATGCAGTGATGTACGAATATATTCAAACGTACATCTCAGGTGAGCCCGTCCTCCAGCTCTTGTCCCTCATAGTGAAGCTTCCCAGACTCTCCCGCTTGGCCATCTTGTCATCGCGGCGACCTTTGTGCTCTCGACGGGTGACTACAGGGGTCTTCTGCTCCAGCTGGGACAGGTGCTCCATGCTGCTATACACCTGAAAGACAAAGAGCAATGCCAAAGGATGCTTCATTTACACCTTGCATGTGGTGTAAAGATTTGTAAGTCTGATTATTTTGAACAATAATCTTCAAAATAAGCATTCTGAAGCCATACAATAGCCTTGTCTTTGAATTTTGCGCACAAATCATTAGAACTACTTGCGCTATGGTTCAAGTTGACAGTGGCAGTAAAGACATTCATAATGTTACAAAATATGCCCATTTCAAATAAATGCTGTTCTTTTTAATTTTGTATAAATGAAAAATAAAAAAATCCGGAAAAATTGTATCAGGTTATTCACTAAAATATTAAGCAGCACAACTGTTTTCAACATTGATAATCATAAGAATTGCTTCTTGAGCAGCAAATTAGCATATTAGAATGATTTCTGAAGGATCATGTGACACTAAAGACTGGAGGAAAGATGCTAACATTCAGCTTTGCATCACGGGAATAAATTACATTTGAAATTATATATTTAAATTATTAAATTATTTTTACTTGTTGTAATAATATTTCATAAAATCACTGTTTTTACTGTATCTGTCAAAAACATTTTAAAAAATTGACACAAATGTTTGAACGATAATGTATATGATGCTTTATGGTGTTTCTTTTATTTTAGTGCTTGAAATCAGTTGAAAGGTTGTTTTTCATCCAGTCATTTTGCTGTTTGCATAATTGCATTTGTCTTCTTGTTTATATAATCCAAGGTCTTTGTTCAGCAAGTGGTCCTGAAGAGGGTCGCATGTCTTAAGAAGAACCCTCAGCACATTCACACCGAAGAAGATCAGAGAAAGTTTATTATGTAAGCGTGCAATTGTGTGCGCTTATCTGAAGGCCACTGCTTCACGCAAGTGTTTTTTTAATGAATCACCTACGTTCAAAACAAGCACATTGAGTTTCCTGCCATTTCCAGGAAAATAATGTTTATACGGAGTACATGAACTGGAAGAAGAGATAAGAAAGAGACAAAACTGTTTGTTTAACCGGTACAGTCTTTTCAATGGATATGTGTAAGACAGACTGGGGCTAGTTGTCACATACTGTACATGTCAGCAACTATAAGATTTTACATTACTAATTAAAAATTAAGTTTTGATATATTTACGGTAGGAAATTTACAAAATATCTTCATGGAACATGATCTTTACTTAATATCCTAATGATTTTTGCCATTAAAAAATAGATAATTTTGACCCATACAATGTATTGTTGGCTATTGCTACAAATATATCCGTGCTACTTATGACTGGTTTTGTGCTCCAGGGTCACAAATGCACTAATGTTTGTGTCTATACAAAAACAGTTTTTAAAAATAAACACAATCATTGGAGTAAAAACTGTGAAAACTAGGCATGGTCTCCTTTAAAAGGAATGAGAGGATGCAATGTGACCTTGATGGACCATGAAAAATTAAATAAAAGAAAGACAGATAAAAATGATGAGTGTTAATGTGTCTACACATTCGAGAGTGTTTCTAAAAAAGAAAGCATGAAATATGGATGCAGCCATGTGTCAGACTGACCTTGCTGAAGCGCGGCGAGCAAGAGGAGAACTGTCTTATCTCTACTGGCTCATCGTCGTTGGTGTCGTCCTCGTCATAGGAGTTGATGTGCCGATAACGCTCTGACCGCGCTGAAACAGAGGGAGCGCGAGATGATGGTGAGAGATAGAGAGATGGAGATCAAGGGCAGACTAAGAAGCAAGTGTGAGTGTCCTCACTGTCGAAATAGCTGGTGTCCTCCTCAGACTCTAGATGAGGGATGAACTCGGCCTTCTGTCGGAGTAAACCATTCCAGTCCAATCCCGAGAAAAACGAGTGCTGCTTCACTTCAAATGCTCCACCTGTTTACAAGAGTAAACAGAAGTACATTTATAGACAAACAGATAAACACGCAATCCTGGTAAGACAAGGTGTTGTGGCCATGCATTGTGTTGCAAAAACTGGTTAACCCGCCCGCCTGCTTTCTTTTTTCCAGAACTATCCTAATATGACAGAATGTTCAAGCAACGGTTTTTCATACAGTTAAAAAATAAACACAGGGACTGGGGTTGTAAATAGTTAATAGTTGTCCAAGTGATTTTAGTCTTCTAATGTCATACAAAGTTTTGCATGGATTCAAATATGGTGGCATGGTAAGTCTGAATATACTGTATACAAACTAGTGCTAGTCATGTCAAATAAAAGTTTTTTTTTTGCATAATATATGTGTGTGTTCTGTGTATATTTATTATGACAGCGCTAATACAAACACAAATTAGACTTAAGAACTATTGTGAAGGGAAACATTTTCAGCAGTTACATTACATTTAAAAAAAAAAATTAAATGGTTGTTTTTGGAGCTTGACAACTTCCATTTCCATTTATTTTAATTGTATAGAAAACACCAAATTTTGTGACAGAAACCCTCATATGGAACAACATGAGCCTGAGTAAATGATGACAGAAATTTTATTTTTGACTAAACAAAAATATACACTACTAGGTTTTTTTAGGGAAAATGTAAAAATATAATACTTTTATTTAGGATACATTAAACTGATCAAAAGTGACACTAAAACATTTATAATGTTACAAAACGTTTCTATTTCAAATAAATGTGGTTCTTTGTATTCATTATAGTATTCTGAAAAAATGTCACAGTTTCCACAAAAATATTAAGTGTTTGCAACCTTAGAAGTAAGAAACGTTTCTTGAGCAGCAAATCAGCATATTAGAGTGATTTCTGAAGGATCATGTGACACTGAAGACTGGAGTAATGATGCTGAAAATTCAGCTTTGCATCACAGGAATAAATTACATTTTAAATACATACAAACAGAAAACAGTTGTAATCATATTCGCGACCCTGGACCACAAAACCAGTCATAAGTAGCACGGGTATATTTGTAGCAATAGCTAAAAATACATTGTATGGGTCAAAATTATCGATTTTTCTTTTATGCCAAAAATCATTAGGATATTAAGTAAAGATCATGTTCCATGAAGATATTTTGTAAATTTCCTACTGTAAATATATCAAAACGTCATTTTTGATTAGTAATATGCATTGCTAAGAACTTCATTCGGACAACTTTTCTCAATATTTAGATTTTTTTGCACCCTCAGATTCCAGATTTTCAAATAGTTGCATCTCAGCCAAATATTGTCCTATCCTAACAAACCATACATCAATGAAAAGTTGATTTATTCAGCTTTCAGATGATGTATAAATCTCAATTTCAAAAAATTGACACTTAAGACTGGTTTTGTGGTCCAGGGTCACATTTCATAATCTTACTGTTCTTACTGCATTTTTAATCAAATAAACGCAGCCTTGACATTAAAAAAATCTTACTGACCCAACTCTTTTGAACAGTAATGCTAAAAACAAGAAAGAAACACATGAAATTCTATAAAAAAAGAAAAGACATGAAAAGAAATGCACAGATGAATTGTTCACAATAAGAATATGTATTCATGTCAAAACGTCCAATCTGAATTTATGTTGTCTTGACTTATGGCATAAGTGTGTGAAAGTGTGTTAAACTGGCGGATGTGTACCTGTGCCCAGTCGCACTAGTGGGTTGGTTTGCAGCAGGGCGGAAATCAGGCTCTGAGCTTCACTAGGCAGCGCCTCATCTCCCACAGGCCACTCAATATCATCTACACAAACACACACACAGAAATCTGTTGGCAGCACTGAAGCTCTTCATCACATTTCAGTGTATAGAATTACAAAGCTTTGCGAGAAAAATGGAGCACTTTGGAAGAGGTATCTGGAAGAGAAGAATGTGTTTGCTTTTGCACTCATCAACGCCGCTGCTGCTAATATTAGCTCAGGAGTTGCTTTGAAGCTCCGATGTGCTGAGACATGAAGTGCGATCAGGATTCACCTCAAGATTCAGACTCACCTGTGATCACCTGACCAAAGAGCTCTTCAGTCGTGTCTCCGAAGAACGGCACACAGCCCACTAGGAATTCGTAGAGGATGATGCCCATGGCCCACCAGTCCACTGGTTTCCCATAGCCCTGCCTGAGAATGACCTCCGGGGCGATATACTCCGGCGTGCCACACACCTGAGACAGAGAGACAATCCTGTCCTGTTTACACCTGCTATGTGAACCGATCACAAAATGACAGGCCTGTTTCCTTACCTGTTTGTCCAGGAACTCCCTGGCATCCTTCTCGATGTGTCCCTCGTACAGGTTAGTGGTGAGATTCATGAGCCCCATCTTTGACAAGCCAAAATCCGTCAGCTTAATGTGGCCCATCGACGTGATCAACAGACTGTGAAGAAGAACCACGAGTCGTGAGCGTCTGCTTCGAAAATAGACGTCAAGATGAGATCATCTGTTTTACACCTAGTAATACAGTCGGTTTTACACCTAGCAACAGTCGGTTTCCCCGAAGTAAAAATCCCATTATTTATTTTAACAATAACTTATAAACCATTAAAGACAGACCTATTGTGAATTCTGAATTAGTTAATAGATGAAAAATGCTTTTGTTGAAGCCATTAGCCTGCATTATTTCAACCTATTTTTAAAATAGTCATAATCAACAGCAGAATTTCTGGTGAAAACCTACATTCTCTAGTGAAAAGTAAATATACTAAAATGCATTTGAAATACATTTATTTCATGCTAAGTATGCTACAAACCATTTATGTGCTTAATAAAAATACCCTGCAATTGTACTTTTAGTATACTAAACTGTTATACTAGAACAACTGATTTTGTACTTAATGCACTTTAATTGTGTGGAAGTAGTGCTGAAGTCCAACTAAAGAGATACTGAAGTATATCTGATTGTGCTAAAGTGGAACTATTGCAAGTACACTTCAGCTACACTTTATCTGGCATTTAACGACTGGTATTATTCAAAGATCATGCAATCCTCATCGATAGTGACATTAAAATACATTTTAGGATTAATATTAAGAAATGTGCATTGTGCACAAGTAGTACTCCAAATAAAGTTATTATAATTTTTATATCAGCAAGTCTTGAGCGATATCTCAGTAAATATGTTAATAGATTTGAACTATACTTAATATGAAATAAATGTATTTTAAATATATCACTTTTTTTTACTAGGGTTACCCATGATTCTGCAGAGAAATATCCACCAATTAGAGAATTGCAACAAGCAAATTGTGCCAAAAGAACGCTTTAGCACTGCCATTCTCCATATAAACAGTTAAAGACAGACCTACCATAAGCTACAAATTTGTTAATCGATGGTACATGCTATAGTTGAACCCATTAGTCCACATTGTTTCAACTTTTCTTCTTTAAATAATCATGTTTAACAACAGAATTTCTAGTGAAGAACTACATTAACCATGATTCTGCAGAGAAATCTCCACCAATCAGAAGACTGAGACAAACAAATCACGCCAAAAGAATCATTCAATCCCATTAAGGGCACTATAAATGACCTGAGTCAGCTTTCTTATGCTCTCAAACTAATTAAATATTTGTATATATATATATATATATCTATATGTTGTTTTCAAATGTACTTTATAAATACTTTATTATAAATGTTGTTATACTGACTCTTCTTTCACTATTCTACTCGACAGATGACCTCCAGTCCAGCAGGGGGCGCTGACTTACTTGTCTGGTTTCAGGTCTCGGTGTACGATGCCATAATTATGAATGTACTCCAGTGCTAAAACTGTTTCAGCAAAGTACATCCGGGCCATTTCCACAGGAAGGGCTCCGATATTTTTCAGCAGGGTTGCACAGTCACCACCTAAACAAAAAATAACGTGATTGAATTATAAAAATAATTGGCTGTAAAATGACTCAAATCTGGGTTGTGTGTACAAATTAGGATTGAATCGTTGAGTGTGTCTCATGCCTTACCCTCCACGTACTCCATAACCATGCACAGGTGACGGCGTGTCTCAAAAGAGCAGAACATGCTGACCACAAAGGGGTTCTCGGCGAAGGTCAGGATGTCCCGCTCCACGAACGCCTGCTGGATCTGGTTCCGCAGGATCAGGTTTTGTTTGTTGATCTTCTTCATAGCAAAGCGCTGCCGCGTCTCTCTGTGTCTGACTAAATACACAGCTCTGCGATCAAAACGAGAGGGAGAGATCTGGTTTATCCAAGTTTACACATTGCTTTTAAGTTATTTCATGGTAACTGGAGAGTGAATAGCGATATTCTCACCCATACGCTCCGTTGCTGATGAGTTTGATAGTCTGGAAGTCTGATTCACAGGGCGGTTTGATGGCTTTGAGCTTCCCCTGAGAGAAAGCCAGATAAACGATTCAGTGCAGGGGAAATATATCGACTGGAGTATAATTTCCCTCCCTATGCCGTTTCAATTCTACCACTTTTATCCTGAATCCCTGCCGCTGCAGTTGTGCTGCGAGAGTTTGTTTGGTCCTTCATTAAAAATAAGTTTCCATGTTAAAGAGTGAGAAAATTGCAGGCTTATATAACACATCTTGTTCTGTTTTTTTCGCCCATTTTTTCCTCTTAAAGAGGTCCTATTATGCTTTTTTACAAAGTCTTGATTTTGTTTTGGGGGTGTACTAGAACAGGCTCTCATACTAGGTTGTTCGAAATTTTCATATTTTTCACATATTTTACATTATTACAACACCTCTCTCCCCAGTCTGGCATGAACGACTCGAATAGTTCCTGTATCAAATGAAGGCCCGCCTTCTGAAATACGAAATGGGCTGTGATTGGTTAGCTGCACTCGTGTATGCTTTGATTGGTTAGCTGGACCAGTGTGTGCTGTGATTGGCAGCACTCGGCGCCTGGTCGGGAAATGTCACGCCCCTTCCCATAGCCGCCTGCCAGCTTCAGTGTAAATATGCTCAAAATCAAATCAATCTGAGCGCGGTTTAAACCCGGATGATTGTAACCACTCTAAGTACGTCTGCCTTGGGAAAGCTAGCGTGTCTCCGACATAGTGATAACCCTCGTTGCCTTCTCTAGTGCAGCTCAACCAGGGCTCGTCCCATTTGTCAATCTTTGTGATATCACAAATCCCGGAAAATATGCATTGTAGTCCAAACGAGTCGTTCGTTGTAGTTTTTGAAAAGTGATTTCTGTTCAATAAAATATCTCCTTTTGAATTGGACTTTGAGCTTTGTAACTTTGCAGATCTTTTTTATGCTCAAACAGCAACATTACAGACTAACTAAAGTTGAAAAAGTGAAAAAGCATAATAGGACCCCTTTAAATAACTAGTAGGTAAAAGTTGCAATCTTTGCAATTTTTTGGTTATTACAAAATTTACACTTGATTAAACTAATACACTCACTTCAGCAGAGTCGTCCGTCTCCGGCGTGTGGGGTCCCTCGCTGTCATAACTTTCCAAATTCACCATTTCTGCAAGCAAGGATCATGTTTGGTTAATACATTTTACTATGCAATAATCATGCACTGGCGTTGAAGAAAAAATTACATAAATGTGTTGTTTGAGATGTTCGACAAGTTTCTAGTTCAATTAATAGACTGAAGTTTCGAGTCAAATAAAACAAAACCAATTATGCATATACGTGCATGTAATGCATATATTAATAATAATAAAATATACCACTGTTCAAAAATTTGTGGTCAGCAAGATCCACATTTTTATCATAGAAGTCTCTTATTCTTAAGGCTGCATTTATTTGATTAAAAATACAATAAAAACAGTAAAATTATGAAATAATATTATAATTTAAAATAACTATTTTCTATTTGAATATATTTTAAAATGTAATTTATTTCTGTGATGCAAAGCTGATTTATTCCCCAGTCTTCAGTGTCACACGATCTTTCAGAAATCAGTCTAATATGCTAATATGAAACATTTCTGATTATCAATGTATTTAAAAAAATGCATGTAAACCGTGATACATTTTATGAGGATTCTTTGATCAATAAAAAGTTCAAAAGAACAGCATTTATTTGAAACAGATTTCTTTTGTAACATTATAAACATCTTTACTTACACTTTTGATCAATGCATCCTTGTTGAATAAATGTATTAATTTCTTTCGAAAAAAGAATCTTATCTATCATTCATAAATAATTAGCCATCTGCCTGTCTATGAGCAATCAAGAGCATGCTGCCTAATCGAGTCTAAAAACAACACCTCCAGTCGCCACAGCAACCATCCATTCAAGAGAGAAAAATTAAGCATCACTGATCTAAATAAAGACTGATATAAATAAACAACACTGAAATAAACACAAACAAGCTCGAAAGCAGCAATTAAAACAGCACTTTCTTTGTCAGACTCTAGCTGAGTTCAATAAACCGCAATATAGATAATAATTTTAAACTTCATTTCATCTTGTGCAGCCAGAAAATGAAGTGAGAGGACTGAAACGAGTCTTTGCAATTTCACAGACCCAAGTGAAATCTGTTTTCCCAGGGATGCAGTTTCACAGCATCCAACTAAAGCTGGATGACATGCAGAGCAGTGCAGGATTTAAAACTGCACCCAGATAAATGACGTCTGAATCTGACAGATCTGTGAAATCTCATTAGGACATAATCATATTCAATAAAAACAACAATGAAAATGATGCATACAGTCCCAAATGAAAAGGATTAGCTATGCATTGTTCACTCATTGAATGCAATGAAATTAAGTTAACTAAATTAGGTTGAATGTTCAATTAAAGTTCATTGTTTACATTTTAAATTAAATTGTGTAATATCTGTGCTATTAGTGTCACTAAACTGAATTGCAATACAATTAACGGCCTTCGAGGAATAAAATTACATAAACGTGCTGTTTGAGAAACTAGTTGACATTTTCATTTTTTAAGTTTTTAGTACAATTATCAGCCACAAATTTCAAATCAAATTAAATATATAATAGTAATAACATACGCTACTGTTCAAACGTTTGGGGGTCATTAAGGTTTTTTAATGTGTTTGAAAATAGTCTCTTCTGCCCGTCAAGGCTGCATTCATTTAATCAAAAATACAGTAAAAACAGTAAAATTATGAAATATTATTACGATTTAAAATAACTATTTTCTATTCGAATATATTATAGCATGAAATTTATTGCTGTGATCAAAGCTGAATTTCCAGCATCATTACTTCAGTCTTCAGTGTCACATGATCCTTCAGAAATCATTCTAATATGCTGATTTGATGCACTAAACTGAATTGCAAAAATAATGATTGTTTTTCAAACGCTACCCCAGTCTGCCATTGGTCAGTCAATAGCCTAAACTCAACGCTATTGGTTGAGCCAATGCTACTAATTAGAGCTGGTGAGATGCTGAAACAAACAAAACAAAGAGCATTGAGTCACATTGTTTATATGGTGGAAATGAACATAGAAACCTCTTACATATATCTGTAAATTAAGCTGGGATAGAAAAGAAAACACACTCCTTCAGCTTTAACTAAATAGACCGAGCAGCATTCAAAGATATTCAGAGTGCATTTTCTGCCTGAAAAGTGTTGTGTTGTGTTTAGTTGTGCAATGAGAGAGAGAGAGTAAGTGTGTGTTTTTATAAAAAGCCCCATTACTCAGAGCGGGCTGCTGTTTGCCAGGTTCACAGCGGTGCTTACACATTTCCCTGCTTTCTTGGCTGGAATACAAACTTCTCACCGCCTGTGCACCCCACCTTAACCTGCTCCATAATCTCAACAATGTCTCTTAGCATGACCTACATTTCCCTGCCTCTCTCCGGCTTCTTCTACGCTCTTTCCCTCCAGAGACAAACGTGCTCGCTGTGTGAGGATGTTCAGTGGTGTTAGTCTCTCACCTTCCAGAGGGTCTCTGGTCAGGCCGAGCTGGCTGATGATGTATCGCGGGATGTCTGCTTTCATTAGCTGGCCCTCTTTAGCGTGGTCTTCTGCTGCCTCCAGTAGGTGGTAGAACTCTTCAGGGTTAAACTCCTGAAACAACACGCAAATAATGTTGTTTTATGGTCAGTTGCTGCATTCTGCAGTCAAATACATGCCTTGGGTTTGTAGAATTCTTAATATTTTTGAAAGAAGTCTCTTATACTCACCAAGGCTGCATTTATTTGATAAAAAATACAGTAATATTGTGAAATATTATTAGAATTTAAAGTAAGGTTTTTTTATTTGAATATATTTTAAAATGTAATTTATTCCTGTGAATCAAAGCTGAATTTTCAGCAGCATTACTCCAGTCTTCAGCGTCACATGTTCCTTCAGGAATCGTGAAAACATGCTGATTTGCTGCTTAAGGAATGTTTCTGATTATTATAAATGTTGAAAACAGCTGCTGCTTCATATTTTTGTGGAAACTGTAATACACCATTTAGGTATTCAGATAAAATAATGGTAACACTTTACAATAAGGTTCCATCTGTTAACATTAATTTACATGAACTAACAATGAAAAATACTGAAATAATCATTCATAAATAATTTATGAATCTTAGATTTCACCATTTACTAATACATTATTCAAATAAAAATTATATCTCAATATTTAATGGACCTGAGTTAACATGAACTGAAATGAACCGTTAATATACTACTATTAATAATATACTATTGCTCATTGTTAGTTAATGCATTAACCAATGTTCACTAGGGATGGTAAGATTCACCGATTCGCATCGATGCATCAACATAAAAGTTAACGATACGATGCATCAATTTAAAAGAAGTGTGCATTGGATACAAGTTGGCATTTGTATCACGATGCATCGTTTCTAACATATTTGCATCGTAAGAACCGATTAATTTATATATAATTATTAGTAGATGCACTATACTTTTATTATTTAGAAAGTGACCAATATTTTATATGTCGATTGATTTCTTCTTTCTAAACTGTTTCTCAGGTGCGTTCTAGCTTTTATCACCACTGCTGCTACGTGAATATGACGTATCGCAACACTACGAAGACCGAGGAGTTAGAAGTCAGTTTATTTATGATTTGCTGTCTATCTGAACCAAAGAAATAAAACAAACTATCTGTACCATATTGAATTGCATAGCATAATTTTTTCCATTACATCGAATTGCATGGAATCGCATTGTGTTGAATCGAAATCGGATCGCATTGCATCGTAATAGGGATGAATCGTATCGTATTACATTGGTAGCTGCTTCATATGTATCTTTAATGTATCGCATCGTTGGCTCAGCATCGAGATGCGTATCGCATCAGCCTCAGTTATGGAGATGTACATCCCTAATGCTCACTGATGGGACCTTATTGTAAAGTGTTACCAAAATAATTCTCAACTCAGTATTGCATTTCCACATATGTCTTTATCTGGTGATCCATATTATTTATTTATCCACTGATCCGTATTTCCAGTGATTGCACTGCTGGACACATTTTCAGGGGTCCTTTGTGTTTGATAATACCAGTCGAAGGGTTTGTTACACTCAAGCCTTTCAGCACATTGTACTTTCTTCTCCTGACCCCTGGTGACCCCATCAGCCAGTTGCCATGGCAACTGCACAACGTAAGCTGAAGAAGCAACCAAGCCTAGCGACCGGCAGATCAAGTCAAGTGTGTGTGTGTGTGTGTGTGTGTGTGTGTGTGCATGTGTGTGTGTGTGCGTGTGTGTGTGTGTGTACGCGCATGTGTGTGTGTGTGCGGAGACTCTCACCAGACATTCAAGCAGTCGGGCAGGGCGGGAGATGATGATGAAGAGTTTCTTCACCAGCTCTATGATGAAGGTCAGCTCCGAGCTCTCTGATCGCTCATAAGCCTGACAGATAACACAAGATCATTAAATAAAAACAAAAAAAACAAAGGATTAATATTTGAGTAATTCTTCATTCTTTAAGAGCCACTTTTGACTACTGAAATCTGAAATGACTTCTGTAGACAAATATAAATCTGTTTTCAAAATCTGAAGCTCAAAGAAATGATCATGGCTGTTGAGTATAGAGGGCCAAATAACTCCAAATTAAATAATGAAATAAATATTTAAAATATTTAAATCAATCTTTAAATACATAATTAAATACTTAGTAATAACTTAAAATCTTTAAAATCATTATTCAAATACTAAACAAATTAATAAATGTCTATTGTATTTAGCATTAAAAAGCATTATTTTTTCTATCATCACCTTTGGATTGATTTTTCATGTAAGTACAAGCATGTGACATTTACTTTTTTCATTTGCAGGGTTACAGCTGTCAACTCATCATTTAAAAAAATGTATTTATTAAAATATTTAATGTTTTACTATTTAATGTTTATTTATTAAAATAAGTATTAAAATATTTAATTAATTTACATAAATAATTAAAAAAATTGGTCCTCCGTAGTATTGAAACTTCAAGTGAATTTTGCTATGTCTGATGACGTGGAAATAAAAAAAATTATATATTTTAAAATGTATATATGTGTATATAATAAGATTGAGGGTGTGTTTATGCAAGGTAATCTTAAAGCTGCCTGGAAAGGAATTAAGAGTATGGCTGAAGTAAGTACATGGGTATCAAATCAACAAACGCCAATGGAGAATTATGATGCTAATTTTCTTCTATCTAATAACTATAATGAATTTTATTCTCGTTTTGATACATCTGTTATAGGTGATGAGATGGCACTTTTTATAGATAATATTAGCAAGATGGTACTTTTTAAAGATAATACTAGTTCTTCTAATAATTTTTAATTGAATCAATTTGATCTATTGAAACAGTTGAAGGCTACGATGCTTAATAAGGAAAACTATTTCTGGTATTTTAACAAACACACACACAACAAAAAAAAAAGTAATCAGAGATGCAATAAAAAATCTATTACAAATGATCCTTTAACTGGATATTAACTAGGTAATTTCTTTAAACAAACAAACATTAAGCTAATGAAATATTATGTAACTAATAAAACAATTTAATAATCCAGTCAAGTAAAGTGAGATATGAATTCATATTAGCTGAAACACACATACTCATATCCAGCCCACACATATGCTCACTTCATGCAGCAGCTTCTCCAGGTTTTCCTGCAGCTCATAGAAGTAGACGGTGGTGATGAGGCCTTCTCGAGATTTGGTCAGGCAGTTTCGGGACAGCTCTGCGATCTGGTGGTGGATGAAGCTGAGGACCCCATCAGCCAGCGGCAGCACGTTCTCAGGTGAGTACGACTCGATGAACTCAGCCAAGCGCTCCTCCATCTGAGCCGTGGCCTGAAGATAACAGATAGACAGCTTTTAAATAACGTCTTCATTAACAGGGGATACATATGAGCTTAGTTAGAGAGACAAACTAGAGTTCAAAATTAACACTCGTCAATATTTCCAGAAAATAATGCAACAATGCAATCACAATGATACTATATGGGATGCAATCTAATTTTAGTCTGAAGTGTTTGTTTGTGTTTCGCTAACCTTAGGGAACCGCTCCTTATAAACATGGTTCATCATAACAATCTCATTATCGTAACAGGAAGGTGATCGCCCTGGACTGCAGAGAGAAACAGAGAGGGGACGATAAAAGTGACATTTTGCATAAATTGGTTGAGATGTGCTTTGTGTGTGCCTGTGCACCTCAGACTCCGCGAGCGCGGCCGCACATGCGGTGATCTCCGGCCGTCGTCGTCAGTGATGCTCTCAGTGCTGCCAAAGTGTTTGGACAGGAAGTGCAGCTCGTCCAGTGTGGGCTGGAACGGCAACTGATGCAGCCGCTCCTGAGACGAGCTGGAAGACTAAAGAAACAACACAACCCAGTGAGAAATCACATTATAAAGGATACACATGGGACCAAAAAATGTCTCACAATGTCACCATTTGGTTTGAAAATAACAATATTTGCACAAATAAATCAGGGTTGCCATTGATTTAAGACACCAAAAACCTGCCTATCTTGGTACATCGTACTCATTTATATTTCTGTTTAAGTTAGAAATTTGAATAAGTATATTTGAAAGAAATATTGCTACCATTGTAAATTACACTACAAACATACACCTTTGTTTATGTTTGTCTGTTGCTTGGCAACCACTTTTTTGCAACCACAATTGATTCTGAGGAACTACATGGTTTGGTGGAAGAATACTGTTTTTATTAATATCATTACACTTTATTTGCTCTGTTTTATTTTGTGAAATCTTACTACGTATATGGAATAACCGTTTTATAAAAGCAATAAGCCCCGTGAAGCCGTGGTTTACAGTGAATTTATAACAGCTAAAGGGGTTTTAGGCAATGCCCCTTAGCTGTTATAAATTATATTATAATTATAATTTATGTTATAAATGTCCGCTGCTTTTGACACAGTTAACCACCAGATCCTCCTGTCAACCCTATTGGCAAAGGGCATCTCAGGAACCGCACTCCAGTGGTTTGAGTCTTACGTCTCAGATAGGTCCTTCAAGGTATCTTGGAGAGGTGAGGTGTCCAAGTCGCAACATCTAGCTACTGGGGTGCCTCAGGGCTCAGTTCTTGGACCACTTTTCTTCTCTGTCTACATGGCATCACTAGGTTCTGTCATTTAGAAACATGGCTTTTCATACCACTGCTATGCTGATGACACTCAACTCTACCTCTCATTCCATCCTGATGATCCGACGATGGCTGCTTGCATCTCAGCTTGTCTAACGGACATTTCTTGCTGGACGAAGGACCATCACCTTCAACTCAATCTTGCCAAGACAGAACTGCTTGTGGTTCCATCAAACCCATTGTTTCATCACAATTTCACCATCCAGTTAGGCACATCAACCATAACTCCTTCAAAAACAGCCAGAAACCTTGGAGTTATGATTGATGATCAGCTGACTTTCTCAGACCACATTGCTAAAACTGTCCGGTCCTGCAGATTTGCTTTAATCAACATCAAGAAGATCAGGCCCTTTCTTTCAGAACATGCTTCACAACTCCTTGTTCAAGCTCTTGTTCTGTCCAGGCTGGACTATTGCAATGCTCTCTTGGCAGGTCTTCCAGCCAGTTCTATCAAACCTTTACAATTAATCCAGAACGCGGCAGCAAGATTAATTTTTAATCAGCCCAAAAGAATGCAAGTCACTCTCTGTTTATCAATTTGCACTGGCTATCAATAGCTGCTCGCATAAAATGCAAGGCATTGATGTTTGCCTACAAAACCACCACTGGCTCTGCACACCTTTACCTAAATTCATTACTTTTCAATTCAATTATGTGCCTCTAGAAGCTTGCATTCTGCAAGTGAACATCGCTTTATTGTGCCATCCCAAAGAACAAAATCAATTTTAGGAACTTTTAAATTAAATGTTCCCTCCTGGTGGAATGACCTGCCCAACTCAATCCGAGCAGCTGAGTCCTTAGCCATCTTCAAGAATCGGCTAAAAACACATCTCTTCCATCTTTATTTGACCCTCTAACTCTAGCACTCTCTATTCTAATTCTATTCTTAAAAATAAAAAAACTCTAGCTTTCTAATCTTTTTGTATTCTATCTGTTTTCTTTTCATTTATTATACAATTAACAAAAGCACAAAAGACCTCTAACACTAGCTTGCTCTATTCTTTTTCTATTCTATCGGTTTTCTTTTTATTTATTATATTATTTTAAAAACTCTTGCTACGTGTACTGCGTTAAGCTAACTGAGACTTGTTATAGCACTTGTATATTATTGCTCTTTTGTTGATTTTGATTGCTTCTATTGTCCTCATTTGTAAGTCGCTTTGGATAAAAGCATCTGTTAACTGACTAAATGTAAATGTAATGTAAATTCACTGTAAACCATGGCTTCTTGGGGCTTATTGCTTTACTCGACTCAACTCAGTATTGCATGTCCACATATGTCTTTATCTGGTGATCCATATTATTTATTTATCCACTGATCCATATTTCCAGTGATTGCACTGCTGGACACATTTTCAGGGGTCTTTTGTGTTTGATACCACAACAAACTGACACCAAAAACCTGCCTATCTTGGTACATCGTACTCATTCAAATTTCTAACTTAAACAGAAATATAAATAAGTATATCTTAAAGAAATATTGCTACTATGTCTACTAAAAATATATACTTTTATTAAGGATTCACAGCTGGGTTTTTATATTTATGAAAACATTTAGAAAATCAGATAATAACAAATCAGGCTTTATCCTGAAGGATGTCAATCAATCAATCTGACAGTGTGGATTAGTGCTATTTTAGTATAATTGGTCAAAACTATTCTAGTTTTTGTTAATATTTTGAATGAGACTTTATTTTCATTTTCATGTTAGTTAGTTTTAGTAATTTTGTTGTATTTTTTCTTTTTTTTATTAGGATTTTATAAATATGTCTATATAGTTATAGAATTTTCTTCATGTAGTTTTACTTCTTGTAGTACTTTAGGAGTAATTAGGACTAATTAGGAAAATTAGAAATGTTGCCTTGGTGAATAGCTGAAATAAAATAAGTGTAATTGTTTATATTTATGATTTGTATATTTCTTATATATAAATAATAAATTAATTATATATATATTATTAATTATACAAAATGTATTATCAACATAACATATTAAGCATTTTAATGCATAATTTAATATTTTGCTTTTTATAAACATTTTTGTATTTTATTTCACGTACGTTTTTATTTTCAGATGTTATTAGTTTTAGCTAATGATAATAATCCTGGTGTTGACACATAAAATGATGAGGAAAAAACACATTTTGTAAGAAAATGCTAATATATTTTACACGATTTTATAAAGTTATGTTAAATTTTCGACTTTTTGTATTCTATATAGCATATTTTGTCGCATGTCTCCAGAATCATGGCTTTTGTCATTTCATTGAATATACAGCATGCTTGAATATACAGAGCCAAAGCCATTTTACGAGGTTTATAATGCGCTTGAGCTGTCTAACTTCATTTATTTGTGTATGCTCCACATGTCTTGTGCAGTAAATCCAGGATAGACTTATAAAAGAAGATTACCGACCCAAATGAGTGGAGTGAGTTGTAAATGAAACACACAGGCCTGCAGTAATGATTTTCACTCCTACTCGACGTTACCCCGTGTTAATGAGTGAATGATTTTGGCTTTAATCACAAATATATGTCACTCTAGAGTCAATTAAAGGCCAAAAGCAACTTGAGTTTATGAGAAAAAAACAGATGAACCCAAGAACACTTCCCAAGAACCACCAGTTAAACCATTATTTCAACCATGAAGAGCATTTGATCACCAAACACTCCACAGACTGACAGCCATTGACATTATCACAACCAACAACTGAGCAGCTCAAGCATTCGTCAAATGGTTGGATGAACACCAACTTGTTTTCTGCATTGGCACGAATAGAACAAGAAATAAAAGATAATCTGTGACCCTGGACCACAAAACCAGTCATAAGGGTCAATTTTTCGTAATTGAGATTTATACATCATCTGAAAGCTGAATAAATAAGTTTTGCTAGGACAGAACAATATTTGGCCGAGATACAACTATTTGAAAATCTGGAATCTGAGGGTGCAAAAAAATCTAAATGTTGAGAAAATCGCCTTTAAAGCTGTCCAAATGAAGTTCTTAGCCATGCATATTACTAATCAAAAATTAAGTTTTAATATATTTACAGTAGGAAATTTACAAAATATCTTCATGGAACATGATCTTTACTTAATATCCTAATGATTTTTGGCATAAAAGAAAAATCAATAATTTTGACCCATACAATGTATTTTTGGCTATTGCTACAAATATACCCCAGCAACTTAACTTTGTGCTCCAGGGTTACATATGTGTAAGGCTACTGATGCTGTTTGCTGTCTGTTTTTTCTTGGCTTTATTCTATCGAATGTGGCCTGTTCAACTTGACATTGTGTTTGTGTGACATATGCTGCTATACAGGCAATCAGCTGCTTATGAGCATGTGAGATATATAAGAAAAGAAAAAACAAAAGTGTGTTTGTTTTTTGCATTTTATATTATATATACAGTATATCTATATCTATATACATTACATATATATATATTACAGAATTGGTCCAAAGTCAGAGTTGGAAACATCTTAAAAAAGAAAAGATGGTCTTTTTCCAGAAAATGTGTATGTATGCAAATTGTATAATATCCAAGGTACACATTTCTAGTAATTGTGCAGTTAATTCTCATATTGTATTTTCAGAGATTTGTCCTCTCCCCAAACTTGTCACTACCGAAACACAGTAATAATAATTTAATTAGAAAGGTTATATTGACCTATTAAGATTTTGCTTACATCTAGATTGCGAATATATTTTTTTGCTATTTTATTGATTTCTCAGAGGTAATTTATTAGATTTGTTGTATTTTGAATCCAATTGTTCTTTGTAAAAGGCAAAAAGTTGATCACACAAAGGATTCACTAGTTTGAATATACATTGAAGCAAAATGTTTCGGTGGTGACTGCACATTTTCGGTTGTGCCAGTAATGCTTTGGTAGCAACCACATCACATTACAGAATTTTAACTCACATACTAAAACACTACTAAAAACTGCAAAACTGTACTAAAATTTAGTTTATTTCCTCCAAATATGAGGGTTATGTATTCCTTTTTGTCACTACCGAAACAATGATGACATGCTTCGGTAGTGACAATTCTATGGGATAACACCCCCAAAAAACACAAAGATGTCACTACCGAAACCCCACCAAATGTTTCGGTAGTGACAATTTTAGATACTTTTGAACCTAGCTCAAAGATGCTAAACAGCACATGGTTAGCTAGCACAGTTCTGAACAGTGGTATACACTTCAAAACTAAATGTTATGGATTAACTCCCAAAAAAGTTGTTCGGTAGTGATGTTCCTTAAAGTTACACAGATTTTTCAGACTTTTGAACACATTTGCCTCAAAATGATAAGACCTATCTACTCACACCTTGTAGCTATGAGATAGAAGGACACTGGAATATTTTCTGATTTATAAATTTATGGGTGTGTTTAAAGTCTCGACCAATGGACTAAACATACACGTTTCGGTAGTGACATTAAAAATGCGGGACACATTTTTTTACATAAAGTTTCATATTTTACAAAGAAAATATAAAATAAATATTTTTTTTGAACTTCAATTTTTAAAAGAATCAAAAATATACTTCTAAAACAACAATGGAAAAAATAAAAAAATTATTTCAATATTTTCATTAGTTTAAATTTAGGGGTTAGTGTTCGGGACAGCCACCTCACAATTGAAAGTACCCAATAAATGATGGTTTTATATATATTAAGCTTACTAATATTTTAAATATTATTGTGGGTTTCAATAGATAATAGAAATATCTTAATAAACATCTAAGATTTAATTACTTAAATGCTTTTTAAATGTGTTTTTTGGTTGTGGGACAGCAGTTTGCACCAATTCTGTAGAATGGCCCATATATATATATATATATATATATATACATACACAAAATCTAAATATATGTATTATATATAATGCAGAACACAAGCATTTTCAGCAGTAGCTTCACACTTCTGAGCACACTATACAGTACATGGTAATGTAACTTCATTCAGATATCCATATTCAGGAGTGAAATGCGCAGTTGAGCTCATTATTTTCAGGAGTTTGAGAGAATATAAAAATGTAAGAATATAAAAACAGAATTTTTATGCAACACACATTTGATCTCAAAGACGTCAAGTTGCTTTAATGAAACCCATATTCCAAATATAATTAATATTATATAATTACCAGACATTAATTTAAATTACAGACTATATCTATGAAAATTTTTACCTTTTTATAAATTATAACAATTCCGAATTCTTGCACTGGATCTAGACAATGCACTATTATCTTTTTTTAAATAATGATGAATAAAAGGGCAGAATGGACCATTTCTCCATTGTTTTTCCACCCATTATGATTCTTTGTAAATTCATCATTCTCACCCATTATGATTCATCCCTATTTCATATATCCATGTGTGTTTTATGGTGGAGGAGTATATCAGTGTCTGCAGTACTTTGGCAAAATGGCTAACAGCACCTTTAAGTGGCTATTTAGTCAAAGGTATAAATGCAGCAGCACTCTATGGGTGAGTTTGTCCTGTACCGTTGAGCTGGGTGTGTTGGTCCCATATCCAGAGGAGGGAAGAGAGGCCAGAGACCAGCGTCTGCCATCAGCCCTACGCAGGGACACACAGTTTCATGATCCATAAATGCACCAGATTTTGCACATTATTACCATAGTTTATCAGAGTTTATCTTAAGTGAAAAATAAAATTGAAATAAATATTGTTCATTTCAACAAAATGTTTAAAAGCTAAAGTTCAGCTAAATGTTTCATTGTCCCTCCCACATTAAAATTAAAAGGATAAAGCAAAATTAAAACGTAGGCATGTTCAGTATGTGAAATTAATACTAAATATTTTAATGCAAAGATGAAAGTAAAGACATTTAAAATGGCAGGAAAGATTTCTATTTTAAATTAATTCTGTTTTTTCACTTTCTATTCATCAAAAAAGTGTCACATTTTACACAAATATATTAAGGAGTACAACTGTTTTCAACATTGATAATAATCAGAAATGTTTCTTGAGCAGTAAATCAGCATATTAGAATGATTTCTGAGGGATCATGTGACACTGAAGACTAGAGTAATAATGCTGAAAATTCAGCTTTGATCACAGAAATAAATTACATTTCAAAACATATTCAAATAGAAAACAGTTATTTTAAATTAACAATTTTACAGCTTTTACTGCATTTTTTTATTAAATAAATGCAGCTTTGATGAGCATAACAGACTTAAAAAAATATATATATAAAAAAAGTAATTTCTTTCTGTTGATAAAGTGTGTCATTTCAGTGCCACTAGCAGCAGCAAACAGAAACATCAGCTCAACCAATGGTGTGCATTGGGGGCGTGGCTTCCCGTCTGGCTGTTTGAAACTCGTATGTTTGATGTTTCTTGTGTAAAACATTAAATGTGAGCGAGTAAAGTGCAGTTTTCACAGTTCTTTGTGGGCAGAGTTTATAAGTTCCGTTTCATGCATTCTTGTGTGGTTACTAGGCAACCGTCGCATAGAAGTATGCACAGCTTCAGCATTAAAATGAAAACTGATGTTCTTGAGTCTAATTCTCACAAAATACCACAATTAAATGTTCAGTATCCACTTCAAAAGGAGAATATCTTAAGAAAATAGGACAAAACATGAGGGGAAGAGGTGGAACTAAAAATACACATCTGAAAATTGCAGCAGTTGTCAGACCGAATGCGATTCTCTCCTCGGCTTCTTTCTTATCATGAAGAGCCTAACGCGCGGTGACAAGAAATCACATTGTAGCAGGACAGATAGAGCGTGTGCATTGTGAAATATTTAACAGAAGTGCATTAGCATCAGACTGCAGGATGTTGTGTAAGTAATGTGTGAGAGAGACAGCAGCCCAGCGGAGATAAAACAGCTAATTGTCCTCCACCTTCCTTCTTGTCGTCGCTCTGCATCTCGGAATATCAGAGATCACAAAAACATGACAGTTTGAGAAGATTCATAAAAATCTTCTCATGATCTTCTGCCTGCAGCCACAAGTTTTATTTATAAGCCTCTCACCTCTCTCTGTCTCTCACTCTACCCCATCTCTCGCTTTCAAATGGAGAGTTAGACTATGTGATGCTTTCACATTTATTATTTTATTGATTTTTATTCGGTTTTCTTAAATGGAATTTTAATGAATAGGTCATTGTTCAGTTATAAGGTTACCGTTTCGTCCCAAATGAATAAATGCATTCAAAAAATAAAATATAAATACTTCCATCTCTTTGTAATTAAAATTAGTTATTTAAAAAACAAATGTGTTTGAGATTGCTTTCGGTTTTCTTCTGTTTTATTACTGTTTTGCCCCAATTAAATGAAAGCATGTGAAAATTAAAAAACAAAATACTTCCATCTCTTTGCCTCTTCATAATTAGAATTAGTTATTTAAAAAATGTGTTTGTGATTGCTTTCAGTTATTTTATTGCGTTTTCTTCTTTATTACCGTTTTGCCCCAGTTGTGAATAAATGAAAGCATGTGAAAATTCAAAAACAAAATTCTTTCCATCTCTTTGCCTCTTTGTAATTAGAATTAGTTCTTCATTTTTAAATGTTTTTAATGAATAGTTAGTTACATTTTTAGACTAGATTTTTCTTTCCTAAATTAAATTTTTATTATTTGACGTTATAAGATGTTTTTTTAGTTTTTTTTTTACAAATTGTATAAATAAAGGAGTGTGAAAAATCATAAAAATATCTGTATATCTCTTATAAAGCTCTTTTAAACAGAGTTAAATTGCTTTCACTTATTTATTATTTTTACACTTTTTTTTAATTTTCTTATTTTTAATTAAGTCATGTTATAGAGTGATTTTCCCCCCATAATGTACATAAATAAAGAGTGCATAAAATTTCCAAATTCTCTCTTGTTCTCAATTTCTGTCTCTTTCTTAGCCTGTCTTTCACCGTTTTTGTCCATATCTCTATTGCTTTTGTCTCTCTCTTTCTGTGATTCTTAATGAGGTTGTTAATTATGTCTGGTTGAGAAATGGCTTTTCTAATCACTTGCTCCCTTAACAAGAGAAATGAACCTCCAGGACCATTCGGTTCAATGTCTTTCGTCAAATACCGTGTCATGTGCAGTGAATTTCACTTCTTATCATTTACTGAAATATGAGAAAGGCCTTCCTGCTGTTCTCTGCACATTAATGCCAATGAAAACATTCAGGAAACGTCTGTTTATACACTGATCAGTGGAAGTGAGATCATCTAGAATATTCAACAAGCAAAGTAGTCATATCTTTATTAATATCGTAATGATTTGTATGTTTTTGTTTTCATTTGTTTTTGTTATAAGCTTATGTTGTTTTTTAATATTTCTGTTGAGCTTTCATTTATTTTGATTTCAGTAACTTTAGTACTTTAAGAAACGTCTGTCTATACGCTGACCAGTAGGAGTGAGAGAAAATTCAACAAGCAAATGAGTTCTATTTTTAATAATATTTGTTTTGTTTTAGATTTTATTTGACATTTCTGTAATTTTGTTATGTTCTTATGTAAGCTGTATTAAAAGTTCTGCTTTTGAATATTTATGTTTAGCTTTAATTTATTTTTATTTCACTTTTAGTAGTTTTAGTACCTCAAGAAATGTTTATCAATACGCTGACCAGTAAGAGTGGGATCATCTAGAATTTATTATTATTATAAATATTTTTTTTACATAAATATTTTAATCTTTTTTTTTTTGTTTAGTTTTTTTGTTTGTAATTTTGTTGTTTGCTTATGTCATTTGCATTAGTTTTCTTGTTTTTAAAATATTTATGTTTGGCTTTTTTTTCTTTCAGTTTCAGTCTTTTATTTTTGATCATTTTTAAGTTTTCATTTGAATTTAATTTTAGCTTAAGTTCTAGGAATTTGGTTATGTGCTTTTGTAATTTTTATTTTTTGTTTTTCCATTTAGCTTTCTTTTTTATTTTAATGCATTTTTATTTTAGTACCTAACTTATTTGCCTTTTAACTTGACTTTTTCATCTAATATTTATAGAATTTTTTTAATTGATATCAGTTATATTTCAATTACTCAAAACAGTTTTAATAGTTTACATTTTTGAGATAAATACAGCACTGATCTGAACTCAGAAAAACAATCACTGGTGGATGAATAACACAAAGTAAACATTCGACTGTAAAGAAGAGAGGGCTGGATGTCTGGATGGATATGATGCAGATCTCTTTCATATAGCTGGAGACAGGAAGTGTCTTATAGACAGGATGCATTCATATCTCTGAAACACAAAGCATGACTGACAGGCGGATCTTATATCCCCAGTTTCTGAGCTTTTTTGCATGTAACAAAATAGTCGGGAGAAGAAATGTGTGCGTCTGGGTGCATATGCTTGATCTGTGCTGGATCTTACTTCCAGCCGAAGAGGGCAATAAATCACAAACACCTCTGACAGCAGGCAGCACACACACACACGGCCACCCGTGGAGAAAACACCGGCGCCTGATGCTCTTCTGATGCTGCCAATCACGACTGCATTATACAGCGCCAAAAATAAAACACACACAGCCACAATAACACTGACATTCAGCAGCACTGACCCATTTAGCAAACTTGCTTTCATTAACTCCCCTCAGTGTTTCTCTGTAAAAAAACAGAGGTTTTTTCAGTGTTTGCAAAGCACTTCAACAGCAGAGAAATGTCTGATTTATCGTTTACAGCCTCTGCCAGGCCATCAGGAGGAGTCATTGTTGGGTTTTAATGCTCAATTCATCAGGAAGAGTAGATGAAAGAAGGATGAAAGCACGCAGTTTATGGTTTCAAGGGGAACTACAGCCGTATAATGCTGCATATCAAAGAATATGACTACAGTACGCTCTGAACATGAAATATGAATAAATCTGGAAATGTAAGTCTGCAATTGTATTCAGTTTGAATACAAAAGAGATCAACAAGCTGCAAAAATCAACAATGACTAATCATAATATGCATATATAAACCCATGAATGACTATTTTAGATATAGGATTTTTGTTAAAATATGCCATGAGCAGGTTTATTATAATAAAACTAAAACCATATAAACACATTTTCATAAATTGAAATAAAAAAATAAAATAAAGTAAAAATAAATAAAAGCCCTCACACTTATATCATTTCAGCTTGCCAAGGCAACATTCCTCATTTTCATTTAGTTTAACTTTATATACTGAAATAGCTTAAACTAAAATACTTTGTTTTTTGAAATAATAAATAAAAACTACACAGTAATGAAAAAACTAATGCAACTGACCAAAAAAAAAAACACAGCAAAAGTACAAAAACGTTACAATTTAAAATGAAAACAAAATATAAAAATAAAAAGGCATTTAAAATATTAATAAATTAGATAGATACTCACTGGTCATGAGTTTATTTAATTTTTTACCCCGAAACAGTAAAAAAAAAACTGTTCAAACATTGAAATAATAAAAACTACACAGTAATAAAAAAACTAGTAAAAGTGACAAAAAACATACAACAAAAGTACAAAAACTTTACAGTTGAAATGAAAACAAAATATAAAAATAAAAACATAAAAACAATTCAAAATATTAATAAATCTATAATAATATATATCAGTGATACTCACTGGCCAGGAGTTGATTTGATTTGTTACTCCAAAACAGTAAAGACTTTTCAAATATTTGTCTACATTCTAATTAATACTCATGAGATCACCGTTCAGCATTCCAGATGTCACAAATTACATATTCATTACATAAAACCTGCAACAAATCACAAGCCAAGCTATGTTTGTACTTCTGAGAGATGCAATCCTCCAGATTAGCTAGCACATTTTTGGGGGATGCAAGCAAATTTGCATGTGTTTTTACATGCACAAAACAGTAAGATACTGCCGGAGTTATGTTTGTATGCCTGCCTGGTCTGTTCTGTTCTCGTGCTCCATTTAGGCACGCTGCATTCTGATTCGTTCGGATAGCATTCGAGGTCGGGGGTGCGGAAAATCGTGCTATAAAGCGATTTAGAAATCGCGCAAGCTCAAATCGCGATTTTATGACGATTTTGATTAATCGCACAGCTCTAATAAGAGGCTGTATATTCAGAAGCTTTAACACTTATCTAGATAAAAAAGTTTGTCTAGACAAACTTTAAGTTGGCTTGAGAAAGCCGGACCAGAAAGTTTGAAACGTTTTAAAAGATGAAGAAGTTTAAAGTAGTTTTAAAAGGTTAAAGTTTGAATGTTTTTAAGGCAATACAGTCTGTCATAGATAGATAGATAGATAGGGTCTTGGTGTGGTTGCTAAGGTAGCTGGGTCGGTTGCTAGGGTGTTGCTATGCGGTTGCTAGGGTACTATGGGTAGTTGATAAGGTGTTGCTATGTGGTTGCTAAGGTACCAAGTTCGGTTGCTATGGTATTTTTTACATGTAATGAATTTAGAATATATGAAAGTTTGACTTTTTGTAATAAGTTACAAAAAAAAAGAACTTTTTCATGATATTCACATTTTTTGAGATGCACCTGTATATATATATATATATATATATATATATATATATATAACAGCTTCACTGTTTGTATCACTTGCTTGTGGTATTTCTCACAGCGAGTATTATGGCGGACGCCCAAATCCACTATATATTTTTTAAATAATACGGTTTTGTGTCACAAAATGTAGTTTTAAGAGTTTTTTTTAGGCGAGAATGTACTTGTTTAGACTTCAAATATGCATTTTGTTAATATAGATAACGTCTATTTGAAAATTTGCTTCAACGTTTTCGGGGTTGTGAGCTCCAGATGGTCAGCGGCGATGTATAGTACGGCAACACACACTAGTTCTGTGCTCATGAAGCCGCCCGAGAGCAGCCTCACCTCGGCCAGATCTTCTGGAATTTACCGCTGGCTCTGAAGTCTCTATAGTGGTTAAACATGAGAGATCATTTGTTTTGAGTAAATCTCGCGGGTCTTTGGTCTCATTATCTATTATTTGTTCCAGAGCAAATAGTTTTGGTTGAGGGCAAAATCTCACCACATTATATTTGTAACTTCAATGCTGTATATAAGAGCGCTGCCTTTGTACTTTTGACTGAATTGCCTAACAACTTTTATAATGGCTGTTGTTGTTGTTGTTTATTAAATATTATTATTCAATAAATAATATATAAATAATAGTAGCATTTAATAATAGTGTTTAGTATTGCGAAATGGCGACAAGAGACTGTTTCCATGAGTTAGTCAGCAGTAAAGACTTTTATATTGAAAGAGACTGAAATGCTGTTGTAAACAAGGAAATTATTTTTACTTTCAACAACAGCTTGTAAGACGCAGCCAACAAAAAACAAAACAAAAAAAACAACAACAACGAGCAGCATTGTCTTCAGAAATCACCCTTCACAAATATTCAAACTAATGTTTTATTGTGAATATGAGATTGAGTTGAAGAATGAATGCTGAATCAGATGCAGGTAATTTAATAACACTCGCTCAGTCCATCTCTCTCTCATAAAAGTCTACTATACATAATACACCGCTTTTACTACAGTAATACATTAAGCTTTTAATGAAGCAATTGAACTTTCCTTTGTTACTAGTTCTAAAGTGACATTTTGGAATTAGTAATGGATTCTTGGGCTCAGCTGTTAAACGGTCAAACTTTAGATTTGAATCCATGGCGGGAGGAAGTAGTTCTGCACAAAAGAGGGCTTTTAAAGACACTCCGTTGTTGTTTCTTATGTTTTTACACACTTGTGTCGTCGAACTGTTGTATAAATGCAATATGACACTCGTAGATGTGAGATATGGCTGTATTTCAGCACGCTGTGATTACCTACGGCCGAATCACAGTCCTGTTGATAGATATACATACATATATAAAAATAATCTAAATTTATTATATAAAACTTATAATTATATAAATATAATTACTTGTATACAAAATATATGAATTTCCTTTGGTTTTGATGTAAATGTAAATTCTGGTGATTCTTTTGTGTCGGATTTAAAGGATTGTGAGTGCACTGACACAGAGATCTGACCAAGACACAGTGACGTCTGTTCCTCTACTTATATATTCAGGGATTAAGAGAGAAAAACATCACCCAAAAACTTTCATCTACTAAAAGAAAAAGAATAGAGGATGGAAGAATGAACACAAAAATATGTGCGATTCGAGACACCTTTAAAAGGCACAAACAAACAAAAGAAAGTGCTAATTTTCCAGTCGGAAATCTGTCATCACTAGGTCAGAGGTTAAATCAATGGTTGCCATGGAGATTGACCCAGACAGCCTCCCAATTAACAGCTGCTCAGACTCTCAAAGGACACACTCATATAAAGACTATTAATCTTACATTAGATTACAACACAACTAATACACTAAACCTGTTTACCGACAAACAGCAGGGAGATTGACTTATTGAACGCAACACACACAACGCTTGCTTGCTCTACAGAAGAGCAGTCAATTTACTAATGCTGAGAGAGCAGCTCCGCGGCGGGACGCTTCATCATCCTTACTGCACACCTGTTACATTTCTCATTTTCATATGCCTCTAGAGCGCCGTCTCTGATGCTTCATCTGTTGCTCCTGCTGTAGAGAGCAACACGACTAGTCACTAGCATATGTTGTGTTTGGATACAGATGTGCGGCGTCCCACTGAGCCCTGTGTCACCAAACAGTGAGTCACTAAAATAAGATCTAACCTTCAAAAAAAACGGCTCAAGTGGAAGGTATGTAATGAGAAAAGCAGGTCTGCATGAGATAAGAAATTTATCTCATCAACTTTAAATTAAATTTCCCCAACAAAACAAAACAAAAATTAATAAATAACTAAAGTAAAATGAAATGAAATGAAAGCAAATGAAACCTGTTACACTCACCAATTTTAAATAAAATATTATTAAAATAAAATAAAATAAAATAAAAAAATAATAAAATTTAATTAAATAAAAAATTAAATAAAAATAAAATAAAATAAAATAAAAAATTAAATTAAATTAAATTAAATATAAAAAATTAAATTAAATTAAATTAAATTAAATAAAATGCCTGGTTTCAGCTGTTAGACTCACCAACTTTAAATTAAATATCCCCAACAAAATAATAAATAAAATATAATATATGGCCTGACTCACGGACTTTAAAATAAATATCCCCAATAATAAAATAAAATACAAAACATATATACCTATATACACACACACACACACACACATGCATCCCAACATTTGATGTAAATGGAGTAGAAATTCAATTCATAATGCAAAGGGTGTGGTGATGTAAGGTCACCTGACTTCTGGTTGCTAGGCAATAGGATGTGGGTACTACAGCAGATACTTGCACACAGTTTGAAGAAAGAGAAGAAAAGGCAGAAGGTGAAGAGAATAGACGAGTGTGCAGGTGAAAGGGTGAAAGAGAGTCTCAGAGGAGGTGAATGAGATAAATATAGACTCTGCTGGCAGTGTGAGAGAGCAAAGAGCACAGAGGACCTTCACTTCTGTCTCTGCTCATGATAGGTGGAGGGAAAGAAGGACAAAAAGGACTAATAAACAGGGTGACCGAATGTCCTGCTTTCACAAGGTGTGTGTCTCAGTGTCCCGACACATTTCACTAAAATCTAAATATGGTTTCAGCTGTTAGACTTACTGATCCCCAATGTCCTCTAGCAACAATATCTGGTGTCCTTGCAATACAGAAAAGATGTCCCTGCATTCAAATTAGAGATGTGCATTTTCTAGGAAGTCCTGTA